GTCCAAAAGATGCAATTTTTGGCAGAACCGGAGATTGAACTCAGGTCCTTGTACTTGCCAAGGAAGCATTTATTCCACTGAGCCATCTCCCTGGTCAGATGCAATTCTTAAAAGAAAAAACTTTTTTTTTTTTTGCAGAACCGGGGATTGAACTCAGGCCCTTGCACTTGCCAGGCAAGTGCTTATTCTATTGAGCCATATCCCCAGCCCCAAAAAATTTTTGTGCCTGGGAAATAGCTCAGTGCAATAAGTGCTTGCCTGGCAAGTGCAAGGTCCTGAGTTTGATCCCTGGTACCGCAAAAAAAAAAGAAAGAAAGAAAGAAAAAACTTTTTTCCCGGCCTAGGAGCAGCTCTCTTCTGCAGCAGGTGGCATGGCCCCAACATGGAGGATGAGCCTGTCATCCTCATTTGCTACTCACAGCTGGGACACCTCAGACCCAGGGCTGGGGTCCCCTAGCACCACCACTGGAAGGACAGTGTTGTCCTGGAGACCTAGGGAGGGCTAGGTGCTCCTGCACTGAACCAGAAAGCTCTCTAGATACACAGATTCCTGGATGCACATATTAAAAGGGTCCTCGTGCAGAAGGTCTGGGTGGGGCCCTGACCTAGGGAGTAAGCCCATAAAATGCTGAGCCGTACCCTAGAACTCCTCTTTCTCATATTTTGAGATAGGGTCCTAGTAAGTGGCCCAGGCTGACCTTGAACTTAAGACACTCCTGTTTTGGCCTTTCCAATAGAAATTACAGGTATGTGCCACCAAGCCCAGACGGGTTCACTATGTTTACCGAACCTCCCAGAAAGGCAGCTTTCTGTGCAGTTGAAATGGAGACCCCTAGACCATTGGACCTTATCCCTCCCCCCAACACCATGCCAATGTGTACTAAGTCTGGGGGCTAAGCCTCACAGGAGGCTGCTGTGAGACTCTCAGAGGCTGGCCCAGACCTCATCCTGGGCCACCTGCTCACAACTCCCTGGGGCTCTAAACAGAGCTTTATGGAACCCCAAGAACCTTAGTCTTGGCCTCAGTCTGGCACCATCACCTTGCATTGGGGGGCAGGTGACAGGCACCCTGTCTCCCCTCCTCACCGTCAGGGCCTGGATCGCCTCCCACTCCTGCGGGGACTGGATCTTGTGTGCCAGCAGCCGGGTAGCAAGCGGAGGCCTACGTGAGAGGAACAGCAGTGCCAGGATTGCGACAGCGCCCCAGAACTCCACGAGCAGGCCACTGGCTGAGCCTGAGGGGACCTCAGCCCTCTGCAGTATCTGCAGGGCACAGACCAAGGCCCAGCCTGCTCTTTGGGTCAGATGGGGATCTGGGATGGTGGTGGGGCAGCCACGTAGGGACCCTTAAAAGGTGTGAGTGTGGCCCCTTGGCTGGCTTTAAGAACCACACATTGTCTCTGGCTCACTGTAGAAACAAGTACAGCGTGGGACCACGGCCTTCAGGGGCGCAGGCCAGGAGCAAACCATGACAACAGGCAGTAACAGCGGGGCTGACACAGCACCCTGGGAGCCTGCACAGCAATGCTCTACGGGGGAAATCAGAGCTGCTCCAGAGCAGGGCCCAGGCCGTAAGAGCACTGGCCAGGGACAGTGACGGCTAGCACCTCTAGGGAGTAACTGGGCACCGAAGGCTTGTGGGGTGCTTGACATGCCCTTTCTTGCCCAAACTGCATGAATGGGGGAACCTTTGGCACCTCCATGGAAGCAACACCAGCACTGCCCTGAATAGCACCGCAGAGAAGCCCAGGCTCAGAGCTGTCAGTTACTCGCCCGAGGTACTCAGCTGAGAGAGGAGACAGGCTTTTCCCAAGTACCTGAAACCCCCAGCACAAGTGGGTCACCAGCACCAGTGACAGGGTAGAGCGGAGGTACCCAGAGCTGTGGTCCCCTCCTGGGAGCCTGCTGAGTATGCACTCCCAGGCCTCAGCCCAAGAGTCAAAGAGTGAGGTGGCCCAGAGTGCACCCTGGACGAGAGTCCCATCATACCCCACCCCTGGCTCTTCCTAGAGCAACAGGGCTGGTAGGCGAGCATGAAGCCCTCCTGGCAAGCTCCCCACAAACCAATGGCTGGGGGGCAACCTGAGCTGGCCTCGACAAGCTCAGACCTGCCGCTGCCTGCTGTGAGGTCCTGGTAAACCGCCAAGTCCCTCCACCTTGGTTCCTCAAGGGCCCCTCCGAGGCTGTCACAGAGGCAGCCCTTATACAAAGGGCCTGCTCCTGTGGCCAGCTGTGAATGCACTCAGAAGGGAAGCTGGTCTCACAGCCAGGTCCGTCTGGGGCCTGGAGTGCATGTGACAGTGCACAGTGAACTCTGCTGAGTGGGGCAGTGTATGGGGGGGGCACCTACCCCTCGAAGTCCTCGTTGAGCTGCTCACAGAAGCCGTTGATGCTGGCCCAGTTCAGCTCCTTGTTCAGGGGGTTTGTGGCTCTGTCTGCAGGAGGAGGGGGGTGAGTGTGGCCCAGGCAGCCCCAGCCCTGAGTGCAGACGTCCCTATGGGGACAGATGAGCACATAGCCAGTGGCTCCTCATCAGCTTCCTCTGCTTCTAGAGGCTGTGCCCAGGGCCTGCTTTCCACCTTGCTGCCTCCCTGTGGAGGGGACCCTTCCACAGTGACTTTACCTTCTAATTCTGCTCACAAAAACAGTGGCCCCACTATTCTCATAGAACCTGTGCTCACAACAGATCTGGAAGTGTGGTGGGATGGGGGTGCCACAGGCCTGCCCGCAAGGAGTAAGCAGCCAGCCAGGTCCCAGGGAGGCTAGGTCCTTTGTAGAGTGTGAGAGGGAGGCAAGAAGCTGTGGGGCTTGAGTTAGCTTGTAGCCAGGGAAGCAGCACTCAAGCAGCGGCTCAAGGGAGCTTCCAGGAAGGGAGGGCTGGCTCTGGCCAGCTCACAGGCTGTGAAGGACACATGGATCCCTGAGCTTAAGGCAGGGCATGAAGGGTCCCGGAAGGAAGTATGGGTTTTGCCTCCACACTGGGGTCAGAAAGTTGCACTTTCCCAGGAAAGGCTTGGATTGCCTCTCCCAGGCAGTGCTCCCGAGCCTCCACTCCTACCCAAGTGGGTAGTACGGGGTCAGTTCTCTCCATCTCCTAGGCTGTCCCTCACTGTAGCCCAGTCGCTTGTGCTCACACCTGCCTTCCTTCCTTGGGTGAATGAGTGAATGGAAAGTCAGCTGCACTAGGCATAGGAGGGGTATGCAGATATGATTCAGGAAAAGAGTAGTGGTCAGGACTGGGCAAGGAGTAAGGAGCCAGCCAGGGCCCAAGGAGGCTAGGTCCAAGGATGGGGATGGCAAATAAGACCTTGTTACCCCAATGTGGTTAGACAGCAATCTTAGAAGGCTGGAGTGAAATATGAACCAACTTGAAGTGACAGAACTCTTGGGGCATGGTCAGGCTGTGGGGGAGCCAGAGCAGGGCCTTCACTTCCCTGCGGCCTGTCTCCCCACTTCCCCAACTCCAGTGCTGGTCAAGCACTCAGCTGGCGAGTGGTGAGAACACAGCTCAGGAGAAGGGCCAGGAGGGGATGGGGAATCAGCATGGGTCACCTGCCTAATCACTAGGGGCTCGTGGTGTGACCCTGTAACCCCAGTGTCTGACAACCATGCACTCTACTCATGTTTCGTCAATAAATGTTCTGGGTGGGAGCTATGGCAGCCAACAAGACAAAGTTCTGCTTTTCTAAAGCTCAGGCCCAGGAAGAGAATCACTCAATGCTCAGGGTAACAGGTAAATGCAGAACACTGCAGAGCCATGAGGGGTAGAGATGACTGCAGGCCTGACAAGGTGGTGTGGCCGGCTGCCCCAGGGACCCTCTAGGTGTGGCTGGTTGGGGATGGGAATGAGATGTTTTCTGAGTATAAGCTTGGTTCTGGGATGCCCACAGAACCCTCCAGTCCTTCTGAGGAACATAAGGACTGAACAGAAGGGCAGCGCTGTGGACCCCGGGGGTCACAGGAGTATACTCTCCTCTGGCAGAAGAAGGCACCCAGCTCCCAGGCCCCCACTCTCCCAACACAGGCCAAAGGCTAGGCACACCAGCCTGAGTGAAAGAGAAAATGAAAGGGACACTACTTGCTTGATATCCAGTTGCGGGGACCCTAAAATAGGAAGTTCCTTCAGTGTCAAAGACATGTGACCGTGTGTGAGGACAGGGAAGCTGAGTCTGGAGTCAGCTCTTGAGTCACAAATTGGCAGACAGGAAGCACTGGCCCTCAGCAAACACCAGCTTTCTCACCAGCAACTGGCCTCTGTCCCGAGCATCTAAGTCTGAGGAGCTGACCCACCTCCCTGGCCCCTGGATCTCCAGTCCTCTCTACTCAACGTGGTGAGAACCTTCTAGGATGGCAGCAGGGGACAGTGCTAGGAGGACAGAAGTGTTTCACAAGAGTGTGCAACTCCACCCTGTCTTTCCACAGGGGTGACAGTGTCATCATTTACCCCACCAGAAACTCTGTAGTTTCAGATCTTCATTAAAGAAAAACTCAGTTTTGGTAAGACACAAAGGGAAATAAAAAGAAAAAAACCAGGGCATGAACTTGTTAGGCTTAAATATCTCCAACTCTTGCCACTTCTAGTCTTTGGCTCTCAGGAAATCCCTAGTAGTTAAACCTTAAACTGTTCTGTGCTGCGGATGAAATCCAGGGCCACAGGGTGCTGGGCAAGGCTCCACCATGGAGCTAGACCCAGCCCTTACCCAGTGCTGTTTTGCATTATGAAGAGCTACAGCTCACCTGAAACATAGCTAGGGCCCTGCCTATCAACCCAAGTTGCCACTGAGACCTGGACACTTGTGGCCTGAACAGCAGTCAAAGGGCCCGGGCTGTCTCCTTCCATCCCCTCCCCCACACCACTGGTTGAGGACTATGAAACATCCCTTGGGACTGCGTGGTTGAGGCCACTTCAGGGGTCAACTCTGCTCAAGACTTGCGCTGACCTGGAGCCGTACTACACAGCTCCTGGCGGTTTCAGACCCAAGAGGCTGCGGGGGTTACCAGAGGCTTCTCTGGAGACCTGGCACGGGCAATGGTCAGACAGGTGGAAAAGCCTCAGGAGCGAACTGGGGAGAAGCAAATTACAGCTTTTCAGGGGTAGAGTCCAGAGATGTGAGGGATCCTCCGCACTGTAAGGGACACAGATGTGAGGGGCAGAAAGCTGCAGTGGAGAGTCTGGGGGCACCGGACCTTGTTGGGAAAGAAGCTGTTTCTGAGGAGAGGCAGGAAGAGCTGCAGAGGCCTGTGAGCAAGAGCTGGAAAAGCAATCTTGGGATGGAGGTGCAGGAAATAAGGGTCAGGCTGGCAGTAGTGACAGTGAACTTGGGCTTACTTATGTACACTGAGAGGAGACCCTGCCAAGCCTGTAGAATCTGGGGGTTTGTCACGACGTGGCCAGAGCTTGGGGGACAGCTCTGGGATCAGGTGGGGCAGGGAGTCCTCCCCTTCCTGGACAGGGAAGCACAGCTGACAACACTGCAGGCTCAAGAATTGGACAGGAGGGAATTACGCCGTGCCGGGCCTAAGGGGGAAAGAAGGGGGCTCGAAGAGAGAGGGGTCCGGCCCTGCCGGGGATGAGACGCAGTCCTGGGACCCTTCGCTGGCTCCTTCCCGAAGCCAGGAGAGACTTGGGAGGCCGCTCTTCCGTAGAGCAGCCAGGGCCTGAGGGGACTGGGGCTGCGAGCCGGGTCCTGGAGGTTCTGGGTACAGCTCACTCCCTGCCCCGGGTCACCGACCCGTGGGTCGCATGTCTGACAAGGTCTGGTCCACGCCAGGGTCCGAGGAGTGGATTTGGGGCACCGCCCCTCCCGAGCCGGGGGCGGGGCGTGAGGAGGGGGCGCCGCGTACCCCGCCCCCGCCGAGAAGGGGCCCGCCTCGCACCCCCGGTTCCGGTTCCGGTCCGGCCCGCGCCCCTCCCGGACACTCACTGATTCGCGCCTCCAAAGTCTCCGGCTCCATCGCGGGCTCCATCCACCACGGGCCCCCAGCCTCGGCACCGCCCCCCGCGCCCCGCAGATCTCGCGGGACTTCCTAGGCACCACCCTCCCCGATTAAAGCGCCAGCGTCCTCCCCGACGCCCGGGAGCGGCGCGCTGGACGGCTCGACACCATAGAGGTGAGGGCGCGCTCGCCCAGAGCGTCACCCGCCCGCCAGACCCCTTCCCTGGCGGCGGCTACGTCGCGGCTGGCATCGGCCGCCTGCTTTGCCGTTCGCGGCGCTCAGGCCGAAGGGGAGGCGGAGAGACTGGGGGCTGAAGACAGCACCATGGAAACCCCACGGGACGCTCTAACTTGTCCTGCGTCACGGAGCTGCCCGTGACCGCTTCCGGAAGAACGCTCTGGGGGCCATGTTTCTGAGGGGCTCTGAGGTCACTTCCGGAGCCCTGAGCGGTGCTTCCGGTCGGGAGCAAAGGTGGGAGGGTCACTTAAAGGGCAATGACATACATTGGCGTCTGTGGAAAAGACGAGGGTGAATGAGTAAATGTCTGGTGCTGGCAGTCTCCCAGGCCTTGTTCTAAGCACTTTTTATACATCGTCACACCTCACTACAACCCCGTGAGTCAGAAGTCACAGTGTCAGAGCCTTACCCCTATCCATTGCATTATGCTCCCTACCACGTTCATCCTGCAAACGTTTAATGAGTTCATCGCTTCTGTTTTGCTCCATGGTAGGCCCGGGAGGAAAAGGACGAGGCCAGATAATTTGTTGCACGAAGGGATAGGGGAACCCACAAGGTAGGGCAAATACAGGAGGAGCCTTCTCTCCAGAATGGGATGTTGGGGGGCGCGAGGGGCTGTTTGCAGAGGAGATGCGTTAGCCGGGCCGTGGCTTTCCCCACGTAGACCTGGTGTGAATTCAGAGATGTCCAGGAGAGAGTGAGATGAGATTAGGGAACGCAGGTATTTGTGCAAGGCGCCAGGAGGTAGGCTGGGGCAAGATCACGCGGGCCCTGGGTTTGGCTTTTTTCTGTGTGTAAACTACATTGGAGGAATCATTAAAGAGCTGTAAGAGGTGAAAAAGTCAAGCGTTTGTTTAAAAGCCATCCAGGCGGCACCAGCGCACAGGTACTGGTGGCAGACAGGGAGAATACACTTTTCCAGCCTCGAGGGTCTCTTCTCCCTCACCTGCCTTTTCCACCACGGCCCTGTGCCGCCTGCCCCTGTGTCATACCCCAGGAGCCGGGTCAGTTGCCCTCCGTCGCCCCCTGGTGGCCCCTGGGGGAACCTGCCCTTGGTGCCCTCCCCAGCAACCCTGTGCCACAAGGAGTTGAAGCAGAACTGAGACTAGGGAATCTGGCGAATCTGGTTCTGTTGGGCAGGCGCCTTGGCAAGTGACCTGGACTCACCTTGCAGAACCAAAGTGACCTCACCTGAGTCAGTTTTTCCCCTAAACTCAGCTGACTGGGACCCTAAATTCTGCCCCACAGGCCATTAAAATTATATAGGAAAGGGATTATGTACATGTATTACAGTCTTAAAAGCTGTAACAATATGTACTTGGAACTCTTTCTTTTACTACTGAGATGAATTATTACTGAAATAAAATGCAAGCTGCACTGTGTTGAATTAGAGGCATATCCATTCTGTCAGAAGTCAATGTATTATTCCTATTTTTTTAGACACCAGGTCTTGTTATGTATACCAAGCTGGCCTCGAACTTGCTATGTAACCCAGGCTGGTCTCGAATTGGAGATGCCCCTGCCTTAGCCTCCTCAGTGCTGAGGTCACAGTGCTCCACTATGCAAAGCTCAGAAGTCACCCTCAGTTGGGAGAGGTGGAGTACGTGTGTAACCCATCACCGAGTTTGAGGCCAGCCTGGGCTACAAAGTGAGCTCAAGGCCAGCCTGAACTGCATAGGGAGACCCTGTCCCCAAAACACACAGACACACACTTAAAAAGAAGAAGACCTTCCTGCCATGGGAGCACATTGTTATCCCAGCACTGGGAGGCCAAGGCAGGGGAAGGGCAAGTTTGAGCCCAGCCTCGACAATTTAGCAAAACTTGTCTCAAAAAAAAACAAAACAAAACAAAACAAAAAAACAACTTCTGGCCGGCAGAAAGCTCAGCAGACTAAAGCATCTGCTTAGGCAGAGTGCTGAGACCAGGGTTCGATCCCTAGAGTGCTGGCTTCACCCCCAGGGCACACTGAGAGTGATTGAGACTGGACATGGTGGCACGCACCTATAGTCCCGGCACTTGGGAGGCTGAAAACAGGAGAATCACTATGAGTCCGGACTGTGTAGTGAGACCCTGTAGACCCTGTACTAAAAATACAAAAAAATTAAAAATTAGATAAAAATAAAAACAAAAAGGCCAGGAGTGTGTGAAGGCCCCCTAAATCAAGAACAAAATGAAGGGGCTGGAGAGATGGCTCAGTGGTCTAAAGCACCTACTTGAAACAAGCTTGGCAAAGCACAGGGACCGCGGTTCAATCCTCCAGC